ATACCATCAGTATGTGTGACACTGTGAGGAGTTCATTATTATTATTATGATATACCATCAGTATGTGTGGCACTGCGAGGAGTTCATTATTGTTATTATGATATACCATCAGTATGTTTGACACTATGTGGAGTTCATTATTGTTATGATATACCATCAGTATGTATGGCATCGTAGAAACTGCATTATGTCCACGTATAAGAACAAAACAATCTGTATAATTAATACCTTGCATCTTATTTTTTTGACTAGTTGATACCTCTCTGGTTGATGGTGAGTTAGATTGTGTGTATTTGTGTAGCAACTCGTTAGGATTACAACCAAAAGGCGTAGCAAAATACATCAATAGTGATCTGGAGAAATGGGCCCAAGTGTACGGTTTGTTACTTCTTGCCATATGCATGCTGTGGACCTAATCAAAATATATACCGCTCAATTAGACATATTGTGTAGTACAAATAATATTTTGATGATCAAACATCAAACACGTTTCCGTTTTTCCGTGTGTGCATATATGCATAACCAGCTTTGGTACAGAGACAGTGAATAATTGTTTATAGGTGCACGTCCAGTTATTTTTTTGATTTAAATAAATTTGACTTATTGGCAGTCATTTTTGTCTCCAAACGTGCATGCATCCAATTCAGTTCCGCGTTGGTACAGTGACAGGCATTGATGGTGTACAAGCACAAGTTATTTTTTGATTGGATACATTTTGAGTGGTTGGCGACCATTTTTGTCCTCAAAATCTAAAAACAAAACAAGCTTTTTCTAGCCGTTACCAGCTTTTTCCCAGATAGGCTTTGTTCAAAAATGATAACAAGTGCTCATCGCGTTATGTGTTGATCGGGTTATTTATTTGGCTTTTCTGAAAAAAATTGTTTTTGTTTACCTCATCTTCCTAAAATTGTTCCACATCAATTATTAACAATTAATAACGGAACTTTAGTACAGCTCATGATGGGTAAATTCACTCTGACACAAACCCAGTTCAAAATCAGTTTTAAATTGTTTTCTGAGCGAGGGCTATGGCATGACATGTCATGTCTTGTTTTTTTCTAAACTTTCTTTGATTTTTTATTCACATTGCCGATGGTACAGTGGTGTCCATGGGTGGTTAAAAGGGCGGAAACCGTGGGTTTTTGCTGACGAATTAGTGACAGAACAATTATCAAAAATGATCGGTAAGTATACATTCTTTTTGAAATATTTAATTCGATGTTCAGAATTGCGGATTTTTTATGTTTTTTTTTTGAACATGCAGGCGTCATTACAGTGAATTGTCGGTTTGATTTTGCTAAACTAAGGGGTATATTGTGATTCACTGTCATCTCTCAAATGGGATTAGGCCAAATTGCCCGGATGTAACCCAATCAAGTGGAATGGAATCAAAATATACCCCTCAGTTTATGCAAATAAATATTTAAAATTCTAGTTTTGCTTACTGTACATCCTGGCATTTTACTTGCTCAGAATTTGTCGAATGACATGAAATATATCATACTTCGCACAACACGTTCGTTATCCAAAGCAGAATTCACAGGAATCATTGATAATATGTACCTCACAAATGATTGTAAATTGTGTTCCATTTGTATATGTATTCAGGAGCCAAGACTGAAGAGGTAGCAGCAATGAACGGCCTATCAGTCAATCTACATTTATTGTTGGTAAGTTCCATTTCCCTTTCTCAGAGGAAGTTCAAAGTAGGAACTTATATTTTAGATCAATTTTGTTTAAAGTTTGTACTACTTAGACATTCTAATTTACATGTACATGTCAATTTATTGATTAATAGCCATTTTGACGAAACCCCACAGTTTCAAACTGTCATCAACAATTTGTCAGGAATACCTTGACCATGAATTGAATTGAAATTAGTTATTGCCATCTCCCATGACAGGTTCACAATTCAAAATGATTCAAAAAGGTTGACACAAACAAAGTGGATCCCTTTGTACAAGTGGATCCCCAAACATGGGGCTCCACAATGTTTCATAATTAATATTAATATTTAATCGAATTTAAGTCAGGTTTGCGAAGCTTAGGTTTAGTATCGGGGAAGGTATGGTTCTGTTTATATTAATATTAATATAATTGTACCATACCTTACCCCGATACTAAACCTAATTTTTCATTGTATTGCAATGTAATTGAGTTTAATTAAACTCCAATTAAAACGCAACCCTATATAGGAACGCGTTTTAATCGAGTTCATATCGCAACTATATTAAAAGTTAATTCAACTATATTAAAAGTTAATCCAATGGTGGCTCCACAATTCTTGGGACACCTGTATGGGTGTGTGTGTGTCACACATCGTGCGTGCATCATGCACACGTATGTGTTTCATGATTCAATTCAAGATTGCCGAATAACGACCACTTTGGTGTTAAATATCCCGGAAGATCTCAGTCATGCATGAACGTATTTTATACTCTAATTGAATATTGTATCACACTCAAGACAAATTCACAATGTCTTGTATATCTGCCACAATACCGCCGACAATAAATGTAACACCACTCTTTAATCTACCATCATAATGACGTGCACACAAACTTAAAAAGTGACACATCTGATCAAGACATTGAATCATTCTGCCATTGTTTGGAATAAACGCAATTTAAATTCATGTGATCAAGTAATGTAAAACCATTCAACTATACAAACAATCAACTATACAACTTTACAGTGCACTGACTCAGACATTTGTATCTTTTTATGTTATTAGATATCATTTTATAGACCAACAAAAGATAGATATAAAATTCTGATAGAAGAGAAATCGTTTCCATCTGATCATGTAAGTATATATATCAACTTTTGGTTTCACGGAATAACTTACTAGCAGATTACTCCGTAAGGGACATAATATATGATTTATTGGTCTATATCATAATTGGGTTGAATGTAAAGCCAGTATTTTACCGCCGCATGATATGAAATTTAAGGACACTCACAGTGACAATGTGTAGTTTTAAAAACCCTAGTGAAATGTACACCAAACCATTTCTTAACATTTTCCTGACCCATAAACATTCATGAAATGCTTTTTTTCCACATGTAATAGCCAATAGGAAGATGTATGTCTGCTGTTTGGACAGATACCCCTTTAGCATTTAGCATGGAAGTCTGTGTGTTATTGCCCGTGTTCTATTCAGATTCTTTGGGATTCATCTGTTCAGAATTTACCAAAAAAAAAAAAAAAAAACACGACAAAATGAGAGACATTTGAAAATCAATAAATAATTACCATCTGGTGATCATTGACATTTGTCTTAATGATAGCGACCCGTTATGATGATTTGGCGCCTTCGTGCATACATTTTATATGTGAATATTTCTTAGTTATACAATGAGTTGTTGTTGTTTAATTATTTATCAGTATGCAGTCGAATCGCAAATACGCTTACATGGTTACGATCCGAAGGAATGCATGGTTTTAGCAGAGCCTAGAGAGGTGAGATTGATGCAATAGCTTAATATTATTTGTACACATTTTCAGAAAGAAGGGATGTAAAAGAATCTTACAAAATATGTATCTTTATTTGCCGAGGTCATGGGGACTCTCATTATGGAATGAAACAATCAAAATGCATTTGCGAACATGTAATATTCAGTCTTATTTAAGACAAATAGTGAATGACGGGTTAAATGATTTCCTTGCAAAACATTTACAACAAGAAAGAGCAACGTGAACATTCTGCAAAATATATTTGGAGATGTGTGTGCAACACGTCTCCCCCTCCACATTGTTATGGGTATGTTGGTGATCAAATTGCCGAGACAAAACACAATCTGAACGTGTGAGTAATCTCGTTGCAATACCATACGTGTTACTAAAACTATTTAATAGTGGATAATTAATGTATTTTTATTTAAGTGCGCATATATTTGAGATGCACTTCTGATATAAGTAGTTTATCGCCAAAAAATAACAACCATTTTTCCTCCATAAATTTAAAAGTTTAAACGTTTTGGGGCAACAAAATAGATTCTAATAGTTTTTTTTTGCCTATAGTATATTTTCTTCTATTAAAGTATACATTGATTACATAAGATATATGTTTGTTTTACATAGTTATGAAATTGACATGTTTGACGACATACTTTCAGATTACCTTAAAAGTATTATACACATGTTATTGTACATGTACATATTTATAAAATTGACATTTTCAGATTACATGTTTCTCATATGTTACGTTTGTGGGTATATTTTACAGGGTGAGCACACTCTCCGGATGGAGGATCTTTTAAATTTAATTGAGAAAGAAGGTGAGAGCATTGCAGTGATTGTTTTCTCTGGTGTTCAGTATTACACGGGACAGCTGTTTGACATGAAGGCTATTACTGAGGCTGGTCATAAATAGGTAATAAATACACCGAGGTATTGTCAATAACTCTTATTATTTTATTAATGTAGCAGATATGATTACTTCAATTCTTATGAAAGACATAAGCTGTATTTTATGTTATTTCTGAGACTTGGTAATTTACATCTCTTAATCCGTCAATCACTAGGTCTTGTCCCAGTGCATATACGCGAATATCAAAATGTATGCGTTTAGTTTCATCTGACTCCGTGCTGTGTACATCCATAGGAATGTCGTCTGAACATTGTAGTACAGCCGGATAACTTCATAAATTTATTCTGAGGTTAATTCAGTTTCGTTTATTGAAAATAAGTTTTTTTCCTTAAAGTAAAAGGATGTATATGAAAGCATGTTTCTCCTTAAAGAAAGAAGGTATATATATATTTTTGAATAACAGTGGTAAGACTGTGTTTTTTTTAAAATCAGTGTACAATTAACGAACCATATATCTGATAATAAACTACGAGTAGTGATTTAATCTCAATGTCAGCCCCCTTGTATTGTTGTTTCGTTGTTTTTAGGGTTGCTACGTTGGTTTTGATCTTGCCCATGCTATTGGTAATGTGGAGATATCACTCCATGAGTGGGACGTTGATTTTGCTTGCTGGTGTTCGTACAAGGTACTGTACATTATTTTTTTAAATTAATATTCAATTCTAAAAAAAATGAAGAATATACATGGCTTACTAATAAAAATGCATAAATGGGCGTCATCGAAACAGCATTCTGTTGATATCGTGTCTGAATTTCATCTAAAAATATATCAATATTATGCTGAAAGTTGTCAAAACTTTTTGTGTTCTTTGGTGCCACCTTTTCGCCAAACCATCTTTAAATCAGAAAACAGCTAGTATATAGAGTAGCGTACATTGTCTGACTAGCAACTGTACATGATCTAAATGAGGAAATGTCTAATTGTTAAAACATGAATTGATTGAAAATAATGATCTTTTGGTTTTTTTCATAAAGTTAGATACTACTCTGGAAGCCATTTTGAATAGTTTCGACTTCATTTAGTTGCTACCTTAGTGGGCGAGCGCATGTGACAGAAAAGGGGATTCCTCGGACCAGTTTCATTTGTTGAAAGTTTACTAGTTGAATGTATGTTGTCCCTAACATCTCGTAACTAAACAACGACATAATTCACTTTGCTATTGTACAAAATAAATACAACACAGCCACAAAATTCAAAATCTACTTCAGTTTTATTTTATCAGATTTAATTTAACAAATTCCCATGAAATTCCTCTGTCAAAAGTGTGTCACCCGAGACTACCTTGTAATGAATACAACACAATCAGATGACAAATGTATTATAGTATACTTCTCTCTGCATTTTTAATCACTTTTGTTTTTCCCAGTATTTAAATGCCGGTCCTGGTGGTTTGGCAGGAGCTTTTATACACGAAAAACACGCACGTAATGATTTTCCAAAGTAAGTATGTTATTCGTGATACGTGTCATTTCACATGATTAATGTTTGATCATATAAACATCTTAAACTCTTGGGTGAGGCTCAACTTTGACCTTGATGTCAATCCACATACGAAACTAGCGACACACAGTTCATTTAGAACACATGCGCAAAACTATAACGTTTTTCTATTCACTTTCTGGGTTTCATAGTAAACTGACAAAAATCATTCCCAATCTTCTATATTAAAACTGTTGTTCCGAGGTATGGAGTTAAACATTATACAGGTTCTAGGAGGACCATCGCTAGCATGGTGCCCACAGGTCAGAGACCCAGCTTGTGTTCAGCATACTAAATCAACACATTGAGAACTCCCATGAGTTTTTCTGTGTGTGGAAAATGAAAGTGTCTTCACTTTGATTGCATAATATACAATGGTCAAAATACTCTCTTGTGTTGGGCAGCCTTAGTAAATCTTCGGCACGGAAAACAGGTCAATACATCATCTTCATCAGCAACGGACGCCTCAAAATAGGCTGCTCTGAGCCCACTAAATGGACTTTTGGGGGAGTGGCTCTACTGGGAGTCTCCACATAAACACACTCGAGAAGCTAGCGTCTAGGGGGTCCTAGTTCATATTCCCTGGCTCAGATAAAAACAGTTTTGACCATGCTGGGACAATTCGATGGGTCTGGCTCATCACAAATTAGGAGGAACCAAGTCCCCATTACAAATAAAGCTTGTGGAGCAAGAAGTCAATGAAGTTACGAAGTTGTCATCTGGCAGGTAGTCAAAGAAGTGCAGCTAATGCAACTTCGCAAAAAATGCTTTCATATTTTAACACTGATTGCAAGGGATTGGCAAACAGTCCGTTCACCTTGTATGTGTGTGTATGTGTGTGTGTGTTGGGGGGGGGGGGTTCTGTTTGTATATCTGTTTGTCACAGCCTGCAATTTCAAATTCAGTCGATATGTGATATACTACCTAGATCCCAATGCTTGTACGGGCGAGTAGTGGCATGGGTGAATTAGGCTGTGTATAGTTCGCCACTGTTCCTTCTGGTTCATTCAGTACTAGAGACCGTTATGGCTATACCCCACATCACAATGAAAACAGTGAAGTCTGAAGTATCATAGTTAAATGATACATGAACCTAGCCCACATTAAAAAAGACGTAAAAAGGTACATACATATGATTTGCAAATGTTTATTTGAGTTGATACTATTACAACCTAAAACTAGATTATACACGTGTTTCTATTTTTACAGACTTATTGGATGGTGGGGACATGATATAAAGTCACGGCTTAAAATGTCAAATGGTGAGTGACTTCGTCAGTCTACTGTATATTAACATGTTTTCACTGTATGGCAAATTACAATTACAACTATTTAGAAATAAGAAATTACAGGGTCTTTTGCCATCCCAGAAATGAAATAATTAGCCTTTAGTGATGTATCTTGAGTAAGGTACATTTTATCCTTTTGTGTAAACAATGTAGTGTAAAGAAACTACGAGGTGTGTCCCATGTACATGGACTAGAGCCCTCTAGTGGCTAAATTGATTAAACTGTGCTGATCTTCCGGCATTATTGAAATCGGTTGATCGATTTATGATATTTGACGTCACAATGTGTTATATCCTGCACGGGACAGTAACCATGTCAACCTTTGGATTGTTACCCCTTCTATTTGTTTAACCATTCTGTCACCAGTACTGGGAAGTTGAAAAAAATGTTTTTAACTGTTTGTTGCAGAGCTGGAGCTTGCTCCTGGCGTGGCTGGTTATAGAATATCGAGCCCTCCAGTCATTCTAGCATGTGCACTGTTAGCAAGTATGGATGTAAGTCTGAATAAGTCATATCATATTTCTGGTTCAATTATAATGTTTGAGTTCTTTGGTTTCTTTGTTGAAGAAATAAGCCTGCGAAGAAGAAGAAGAAGAAGGTGGATTTATAGTCGTATGAGAACTTTGACACATTGACAAATCAGACGATTTGCAATGTCATTGCGTTCTATATTACATTGAACTCTTAAATTTGCATTGGCGAAAGTTTTTTCCATTTGATGATTTTTAAGCATTTTTTAGTTGAACCGATA